ATCCATCAATCTATCCATCAATCCATCCATCAATCCATCCATCCGTCCACCCGTGCGTCCGTCCGACCATTTTTAAAAATTAAAAATATTTCAACAAACATCCACATTACTATTGCATTCTTTCTCAAACACAGCAGAAAAGTTACAAAATAAAGTATTAATAAAAAATAATTAAATAAATATAATCCTGTTTAATTTTTGAGTGTTTTTCCCTAATCAGTTCAACATTCTTTTTGGGATTACAATTGCTTTTATGCCACGAACTGAGCCATTCCTAATATACAGTTTTCAAAATGCTGTCGGAATCGTCTCAGACATTTTTATTACTCTATCGTATTCTCATCTCTCATGTCCTTTCTTCACTGATGTCCTGTCAGCCTTCATTGATTTTATATAAACAAGTCAAAAAGGAATCGCAGAATTGGGTTATTAGTTTAAATGAAAAAATCTAGCCCACGCTTTGACATGTTCCAATCATTCTCTTTGCATGGCTCTTCACTGTTTTGCTGATTTTGTCAGTTCTTTTATACAGATCTTCCATAATGTGAGATTTTTAAATCTGGTATCCGTAACTCGATTTTATTTCATTAAAACAGCCCACACCATCCGAAACAGCACTTAAAGATCAATTAATGTAGAAAGTTTGAATGGCATAGCAGCAAAACTCCCTAAGAATTTAGTATGAATTTCTGAGTTCTGGTCTTTGAGGCCTCCACCCCACATATTAAAAGACATATCTCTTGAGGGATAATTTGTTTTTTCAAAAGTGCGCAGTTTTTTAAACATTCATATTCTTTCATATAAAAAACGGTTTGCCATGAATACTTAGATTTTAGATCTTTGTACTAATGAGATGCTGACATTATAAAAGTAATGTCTTCCAATCCTCTATTTTTAATCCAATTTTCGCGCTAAATTTTTTTTTCCAAACTTGTAAAGCCTATCCTATCTGATTTTTTGATCCGCTCTGTACCCAGGAGGCAAAACGTTCTCCAAGACCAATGCACGGTTACTATTGTATCCACTTTTATGTCACGAATAGCCCCAAGTGTAAATAAACATGCCATATTTGATTTTAAATGCCAAATGTGTCTAGCATAGAAATTCAATATTATCAGTCATTATTGTCATTGCTATTGACATGCATAATCTTCATCATCATCCCTATCATCAAATATCATTCCCTACGATTTGGCTAATGCGTAGGGTCTGGGAACGAGGATAGGGACTTTAAGATTTGCAAAATCTACGACGGCGACTTCCACCGGAAGTGTAAATAATTTCTCTTTAGGGTTCTGTTCATTGGAGATTTCATTCAAAACATTGTCAGTAATGTTAATTCCTCCATAGGAAGACAGATTTTGAAGGCTCGAAACCCCAAAGTGAAGTTATTTACACTTCCGGTAGAAGTCGCCGTCGTAGAGAAGCGCCATTGACCTTCTGGAAATGGCGCTATATAAATGTTAATTATTATTATTATCATTATTATTATTATCATTATTATTATTATCATTATTATTATTATTACTATTATCATCATTATTATTATTATTATTATTATTAGATTTTGCAATTCTTAAAGTCCCTATCCTCGTTCCCAGACCCTACGCATTACCCAAATCGTAGGAAGTCCCTAATGTGGCAGGGCTACGCCTCATGTTTGTAAACCTGATAAAATGCTACTGCGCATGCTCTTTTATCAAAAAGTAGCAAACTAGTTGTTAATACGATTAAATCGTATTCATTTTAAAGTTTACCATAGTTCTGTAGACGCGTGTGAAGTGTCTGGAGCGATTTTCCTCAGACGGTGAAACAGTTTCTAGTAGTTCTAGTAGTATGATAGTCAAATAGACACAAAAGAAAACAAAGGAAAAAAGTTCTACTAATCTCTTCTAAGGCCTTATTATACGGAGCAATTTTCACTACAGGTTGCATGGAGCATTGCAGCGTTTAACCTACAGCGCAATAAGAAAAAAAAATGTTGCGAGACAAGTTGCATCACCAGGTGATCTCGGGGAACGTGAGCAAAGAATTGTTGGTACATAGTTGATCAGGTGTCCTAGTTTCACGATAATTTCAAACCAACCAAAACTGACTACATGTATTTGACCCATAGGTAATAGTTATAAGAATAGGTAGGATTTTAAATGCATCGCGTTCATAACGTAGCTAGGGAAGCAAAGATTCATAGTTATTTCCTCTGACTACGGCCGCCATGTTTTCTCCCAGTAGATTCGATAGTCCGCCTGATGAAATCTTTTTTCGCGCGCTGATTGGCTGGTTTTTGATGGGCTGTCAAAACGAGATCACCTGGCAATAGCTGTATTCCGATGTAGTGCGATTGACCATTTTTTTCAAGTTTTAATTTTCACAGTTTTTGGGTTGATTGTATGCTATATAGTATAGATTAGTTTATTATTAACTGGTCRGCCATAGACCTACAAATAAAAAAGTTACCTTTCTAAAAACAATTCACACTGCTTTGAAGAGTTAAATGAAGGAAAATTGTTTTGTCGTTACGTATTCGTTATTGTTGTTTTGTAACAGTGATGGAGGAGGAATAAGAAAAGAGAGAGAG